CCCCCCCCCCCCCCCCCCCCCCCTCCCCTATCTGGATATTTTATTGCGGTTGTAGCCTACCCACGCCCCAACCGCAATTCGTTGCATTTTTGCTCTCCGACAACATCGCCATGAAGCGACAGCCATCACAGCACCCGCACCGTTGATTTCATGCAACGTCGTTCTCTGTCGGAAATCATAACTGCTTCATTGTGTACAAATCATTTTTTTTTTTTTGCGTGTCTTCTTTTTTTCTTAGCGGTGAAGGCGTCACGATGGCTCGCTGGACAGCCACTGAAACGGGATGCCCGAACCACATCAACTGGCCCATCAACCCCAACGCCGCCGGGGTGAGCGGGGCCGAATCGAATCGAACCTAGCCTAGCCGTATCAAGCCAGCGCCGCCACTACCGTGCTGTTGAGCTGCGCATGTGTTGTCTTGTGGTTTGTGTTGCTAATCTCTCAAGTTCTGTTTGGGTTTTGTTTTTCAACCTTGTTCGGGGGTTTAGCTGGTGTCTCGAAGTTATCACCAGCCAGGTGTCTTAATTCAGGGTGTATCGTTGCTGATCCCGTTTGCTGTTGTGGTTTAGATGTTGCCTAACTGTGTGTGCGTGTTTTTTTTTTTTTTTTCAGCCTCTTCTGTATCCGTGCGGTTTGTCCCCGTCGCCCGAAAGTACCATTTTTTCGTCCACCCTACCTCGCGATGTCTGCCGAAGAAGAGCCAGAAGGTCAGCAGGGGGCCACGCAGAATAAGTTTTCTTTGCGGTGCATGCTTTCTTCACCCCTCGAATAACGCGGAACGTCGGGCAGATCGAAAATCTTGATTTTTGTTTCGGCACGTGTGCCAACAATAGGTGCTGTCCGTCAACCAATCGGTCCCGGCATACCCCATGCTCATCGCGTCCGGGGGAACGACGGACTTGAGCTCTGCCGCGGGCACCATCGGACTAATGCGCAACGGGGTTTCTATGTTCAGGTGGGCTGTGAGGCGATCGCGAGCCTTGCCCCCCCCCCCCCCCCCCCCCCCGGGGACATGGTTGCGGCGCGCCTCGCCCCGCTCCGCGGCC